AGTGCTTCCCTGGCAAGCGCAAGGGCCTGAGTTCAATCCCCAGTTTCAAAAAAAAAAAAGAAAGAAAGAAAGAAAGGAAAAGAGTGAGGGGGGCGGGGAGATTGCTCAGTAGAATAAGCGCCTGAGTTCGATCCCTGGTACTGCCAAAAAAAAAAAAAAAAAAAAGTAGTTGGGCCAGCAACATAGGTTAGCAGACTAGGAGCCTGCTTAGGCAAGCACAGGGATTGGGGTTCAATCCCTGGCACCACAGGCTGAGGATCACTACAAGTCTGAGCTGCATAGTAAGACCCTGTACCAAATAGATTTTTAAAAATAAAAGAGGAGGAGGGCTAATTAGCAACACACATAGGATTGGATTATTCTCTAAACAGAAATAAACCTCCTTTGTACACTCAGGTTTGGAGCTGCTCTGGTCACCCCCGGCCCCACCCCCAGTCTTCAAGGACAAAATGGTAGCCTTTCAAGGGGTCTGTGTTCAAGGGGTCTGTGCTCGAAAGTTCTGCTAGTCTCCGCGTCTCATGCAGCTAGTTTTCTTTGGGAAGGGAGTATATTTGAGGATACATACGAAAATTAAAAAAAACAAACAAAAAAAAACTTTTAGAGGGCCAGGGAGATAGTTCAGTAGAATAAATGTTTACCTGGCAAGCAAACATAGGGTCCTGAGTTCAATCCCCAGTACTGTGGAAAAAAAAAAAAAAAAAATCCCCAGTACTGCAAAATAAATAAATAAATAAATAAATAAATAAATAAAAATCAACCAAACAAGCTTTGCCCAGTGGCAGTATGAGGTTTATCCAAGGCTTGAGTATGCCTTAAAAACATTTTCCCAATATCTCTCTGTGACAACTTGAAATATAGTCAGCATTGAAAAAAAAAAAGAAAAGACCACACACACTCTGTCCTGCTTTAGGGAAGTACATGCTGGGCGGGGCCTGAGTTCTGCTCTCTTTTTCTACAAATAAGGTGAAAAATACTTCCTGCCTGGTGGAGGCCAAGGGCAGGGAGGTGAGTGTGTCAGCAAATTTCTGTAGATCAAAACAAGCTGTTCCAGAAAACTGCAGTAAACAGAACCTTGGGTCCCTGGGTGGGGCTGAGCACAGTGGGCTTCCCTGGCAGTGGCCACAACTTGCTCCTTCACAAGCAGCTGTCAGAGGGGCTCTGGGTTGAAGAGAAATGGATAGGGAGTGGGCACTTAGGATCCAGATTCCAGGCTCAGACACCCTCTCCAAGCTTTTTCTGGGCTGTGAACAGTGAAGATCCCTGGCCTCCACGGTGACCAGACCCATCATCTTGTTCTTTTTTTTTTTTTTTTTTTCTCGGAACCGGGGATTAAACTCAGGCCCTTAAGCTTGCCAGGCAAGCGGTTATTCTACTGAGCCATCTCCCCAGCCCCCCCCCCCCCAATCTTGTTCTAAAAGCCCTCTCTGCTGTTGTTTTCAAACACACAACACACCAGCCCATGGGAAGACCCCAGGATTTCCCACAAGAACCTCCGGAAAAGGGAGAGAAGCAGGAGGGGGGGGTGGTAGAGGTGGTGTTTCAGTTTACCCCAAGGGTAGCCCATGACAGTCTGCTGCTGCTTGAGAATGTGCTAGAACTATATATAGCCTTCCTCCTCCACGGGTCCATTCAGGAGCTATGGCTCCTGGGTCACCTTGTGCTCTTCACGGCACTACAGACCTTAGGCCTGGGCCCACTCCCTCTAAACCCTATGCCTCAGCACTGCCAGAGTTTAGAAACTGCAAGTCACAGTGAGCTGGCCCAGTGCCACCCTGTCCCCACCCCTTCAGCTTGCCTCCCTGCAGCCGGAGGAGAAAAACAAGCTGGCTCCGCCCTCAGACCCAGCAGCCTCTCCCCCCACCCCCATAACCAAGGACAAGATCTAGGCTGCTGCCAGCTTCCGGGCTCCACCCTGGGGCCCCTCCTCATCCTGACATTTCATAATTCTGAGGCATATGCTCCAGCCAGTGCTGCCTAGGTCCACCCCACCTTCAGCTCCTCTGGGCTGTGCGTCACCTCTCAGCAAGCCCCTAATCCAGCTCTAAAGCGCTCCCTCCTCTGAGGGGGGATCTTTCCCCAGCATGTTCTGGATCTCTGGGATCCAGAAGCCCTGGCCTGTGGTCGACCTATCAGTAAATATTTGTGATTTCACTGTTACTGTGTAAAGGTCAGGACCAGTCTTTTTGTCAAATGAGGTAGCTCTCCTTCCCCTGTACCCCATGCAGCTTAAGCTCTGGGAAACTGGGCAGGCCTGTGGTGGGCAGGGGAAACCAGGGTAACCTCCCTTGACCAAAAAGTGGCATAGGGAGAGGGTTAGGGACACTTGTCACAGTCCAAGAAACACAGCGGAGGGAATGGCCTATTTTCTTGGCTCAAGTTGGTTAAAAGGAAGGAGTAGGGTAGGAATTTTCAAACAGGAAAGAGCTGCTTAGGCATCTGACCTTGCCTCCCTTTGGGTATGTGATCTATGGGCACTTGGTCCCTCAGATTCTTCCTGGCCACGTCAGGGCAGATTCCCCAGGGCTTGCTCCGCCGCAGGGCCAGCCTCAGGTTCACAAGTTTGATGGTATCAGTCCCTGAAAGATCTCCCAGGACTCTGTGTTCCTTGAAATTCTGCTCCCCTCTCCCTCAGTCTCTTTTTCAATTTAAGACAGTCTTACTAAGTAGTTAGTTCAGGCTGGTCTTGAGCTCACTGTAGCCCATTGTGACCTCAAATTCACAGTGTTCTTGCTGCAGCCTCTCGAGTGCTGGGATTACAGGTGTGCACCCCCCACATCCAGCTTCCCTCACATTGTTTTCCCCACATTTTTTGATATCCTTGCTTTCTGCCCCTTGTCCCTGGCCCTCAGCACCCAATCCTCCTAAACACCCTAGTCCTGAGCTTAGGCTCCACCTGCCCCCATCCCCACCTTCACTGGCTCACTGCTCTTATCCTGAAGCCTCTGATCCTTTTGCTTTTGTGGAACAGAGGATTGAACTCAGTCCCTTGCGCTTGCCAGGGAAGCGCTTATTCCACTGCGCCATCTCCCTGGCCCTTCTAGAAGCCTTTGATCCTAATTGTCACAGCACTCACCTGATTCACCTGTCCTCCCCATGTGAGCAGCTCATCCTGGCTGCACCGGCCCCAGGATATAGAAGACTGTGGGACGGGCGGCCCTGGCCCATGGCCTTCATCTGCCTCTACTACTTGGTGCCTCCAGCGACATTTGGTCCTTCTCCACCCAGTCGCCTGTTGAACAAGTCTCAGCTTTCCTAAACTCCACTTGCTGGCCTCTTCCCCGAGCCCACTTGGGGGAGTGGAGGCAGGGGGCGAGATGGGACAGACGGACACAGGGCTCGGCCACCTGCTGACATTCTGCCATCTGCCAACTCTAGGTTTGCACAGCATCCATAGAAATCCTTCCCCAGAGACCCAGCAGCTGTTCCGCTGCCAGAGCCTCCCACTTCCACACAGGTCGCTGCCAACAGGAATGGCCTCAGCCCTGGTTGCTTCTCCCTGCAGTGTCCTCAGAGGAGCAGGGAGACTGTCCTCAAACCAACGCGGGAGCCTTTTCTGCTCCAGCCCCTTTTGGCCTGCTGGAGCTCCATCCCTGAGCATGGGGCCAGCTGCTGTGGGTGGCAGAGGACATGACCTGGAGTCCACTGACCTTCAGTTGTGCGGGAGCCTGTGCTCATTGGCTCAGGTGTCAGCGATCACTGCCACTCCCACTAGAACAATGCCAAGGGCAAATGGCAGGAGACACGGAAACCCCAGGAAAGAGCTGGGACGATTATCAATTCCCTGGTGCAAATTTCATTTGGGTCACATTATGTAGGAGGTGTAAAATAGAAGCCTGGAGTAGTTCAGTGGTGGAGCGCTTGCCCGACATGCTCAAGGGCCTGGGATTGAGCAGCTAAGGGGGGCCCAGGAAAGCTGCTGCGGAGGACGAGACTGGTTGGGTAGGGTTCTGGGATTTCAGCTCTTGTGGGCACCAGCTGGAGCCCGCCGTACCTTTTTTTTTTTTCCCCTTTGGAACCAGGGATTGAACTCAGGCCCTTGCACTTGCCAGGGAAGCGCTTATTCCATGGAGCCATCTCCCCGGCCCTTACATTGTCACTTCACAGAAAATACTAAAAAGTTTCACAGCAGAATCTGTTTCTAGGACATGGAGGGTGCTCTTGGAGGTCTGGAAGTACCCCATCATGGACCCAGTGGCTGGAGTTGGGGTGCTTGCTCTGAATGGGGATAGGTGTGCAGCGCTAGATCCCAAATCTCACTTGGGAGTTAGCTCGGTGGCACAAGTGCCTGCCTGGCAAGTGCAGGGTCCTGAGTTGGATTCCTGGTACCAAAAAACAGAAAACCAAAAACCCAAATTTCCCAGGTTCTGTCTTGGGGCAGGGCTATACTGCAGGCCTTTTGGGCGTGGCAGGGAGCTGTGCCCTCTCCGGATGAAAAGGATGGACTTAGCTGCCCCCTGCTGGTTGCATCTGGATCAGCAGCTGCAGGCTGCAAATGGCCACAATGGACTCCAGCACGCCCTGATGAGTCCATCACTGGCCCTGAACTTGCTACTTAAATTAGAATCCTGAGATCCAGGCTGGCCCTGTTCTGGGTGAAGCTGGGTAACTGGCCTATTTTCTCTGAAATGTGGGGGGAGCTCTGCAGGGAGGAAGTGCTAGGTGGCTGTGAAGGTCTCTCAGCCAGGAAGAAGGACGAGCAGCAAGAATTTGTCCCTTGGGGCCGGGGAGATGGCCCAGTAGAATATGCACTTGCCTGGCAAGTGCAAGGGCCTGAGTTCAATCCCCGGTTCCACCGAAAAAACAAAAAAAAAGAACTTGTCCCAAGGGTGGGCCAGATGGTTCAGTGGATTAAAGCGCCTGCTTAGGCAGAGGGCAGGGACAGGGTTTCGGATCCTGGTGCCAGCCCTCCCCCTGGGGCGCTGAGATGGTGATTGAGACTGGGCGTGGTGGTGCATGCCTGTAATCCCAGCACTTGGGAGGCAGTGAGACCCCGTACTTTTTTTTTTTTGAGACCCTGTACTTTATTTATTTATTTTTTTTAAATTTATTTATTTATTTATTTGTGTGGGGGGGGCCAGCTCAGCCCACCAGGGGGTGGGGCTGGCTGGCATGTGGTGCTGGGGGATTGAACCGAGGTCCTTGTGCTTTGTTAAGCTTGTTCTAAGTAGGTGCTTTAGACCACTGAGCCATCTCACCAGCCCATAGGCCCTGTACTTTAAAAAAAGAAACAAAAAACAAAAAAATCTGTCCCAAGGTCTGCACCTCCTTTTGGTCAGGACTGTTAGTGCCCATGAGGCTTAGTCATAGCCAGGCTGGCCCCATGCCTGTCACTTTGCTCCATTTGCTCCTCCCTGTTGGACCTAACAGGTAACCTCCTTCAGGAAGTAGACTCTGATCACTGACCCCACTCCATGTTTTGTTTTTTATCCCGTGATGGGTGTGACCAGCTCATCTGTCGGTGTCAAAGTGGCTGGCTCTGCTGGTTCTTTGTATCCAGATCCCTGATCAATCCTACAACCCTGTGGTACCCTGGGCCCCTGGCAGGTTCACCTCCACCCTCTACCTCTGCAGTTTCATCTGTGCTTCTTGAGCCTTTGTCTTTTCAGACTAAGTGTGATAGCTTTTTGGGCTACCTTGGTGTAACTGTCATGAGTCCAGCAGAATCTCTGTCCTCCTGTTCCACCACATGGCTGAGAAGTACCAGTAGGAGGCTGCCCAGTGTGCATGGCAGGCGCTTGCTGGGCTGCAATTTGATAGGACCCTCTACAGCTAGCTCACCCACAGAGGAAGGCCTTAAGGGCTTTTCAGGTGCTGCTGTCAAGGGTGGAGAATGATCCTGAAATGCCCAACCTCAGGAGAGACAATGGGACTACACATCCTGACTGTCCCAGTCTCCACTGTTATAGGATTTGTGAAGTTAGTGGGAACTTCAAAGACTTTGCCTCCTACACTGACCTCCTGAGCAGCCCTGGTGGGTGGGGCTTCTCTGGCCTTGGGACCTCTGGATCCAGGTGCTGGCTGACCATATTGTGCGTGTCAGGCTGGCAGGTAAGATTCCCTACACTTGGCAACTTGGGGTGGCTGACTTAAATTGAGAAAGGGTCTATGTAGTCCAGGCTGGCCTTGAACTATGTATAGCCCAGGCTGATCTTAAACTCACGATCCTCCTGCCTCAGTCTTCCTGCTGAAATTATAGTCATGTACCACTATGCCTGGGCCTTCGCTGGTATCTCTTTATTTTTTTTTGCAGAACCGGGGATTGAACTCAGGCCTTTGCGCTTGCCAGGGAAGCGCTTATTCTACTGAGCCATCTCCCCGGCCCCATGGTATCTTTTTAATTTTTTAAATTTATGTATTTGGTATGGGGTCTCACTACACAGCTCGGACTCATAGTGATCCTCCTGTTTTAGCCTCCCCAGCTCTGGGATTACAGGCGTGTGCTACCATGCTTGGTTTCGGTGACCCACTCAGTACATATGGGGTGGGCCAACATGGCATGCGGTGCCAGGGATCAAACCCAGGTCCCTGCACTTGCCAGGCCAGCACTTAGACCACTGACTATCTTCTAGCCCACGGCTAGTATCTTTAATAGGCTTTGGTGCACCAAAGGCCAAGGTGGCTGAGACAGTAAGCCTTAGGATGTACTGCATTTGTGTTCTGCAAAAGGGTATGTTGAAGTCCTAACCTTCAATACCTCAGAATGAGACCTCATTTGAGAATAAGGGTCATGGGAGGTAAAATTAGTGACAATGAAGTTATAGTAGAGCAGGGTAGCCCTTAATCTACCAGGACTGATTCCTTTTAAGACGAGACAAGCATGGTGGTACATGCCTGTAACAACTTGTAGTAGTATGGTCATCAACCCCACTTTTTTTTTTTTCCCCCCGGAACTGGGGATTGAACTCAGGCCCTTGTGCTTGCCAGGGAAGCGCTTATTCCACTGAGCCATCTCCCCGGCCTCAATCAATCACACTTTGGAGGACACTGAGACCCAGAAAGGTGAAGTCACTTGTTCACTTGGGGAGAGATCAAACCATGAATAGGACTTTGGCCCCACAAGAAGCCTGTTCCTTGTGCTGGGGACCAAAGCCCAGCCTGATAAGTGGTCCAGGTATAGGGTGAAAGAGGCTGCAGCAAGTGTGTGGGAAACCAAGGTGAGAGGAGGCAAACTCTCAGACTTTCTGAAGGGAGGGGAGCCTGCTTGAGCAAAGGCCTGGGGGCTGGAGGTGGCCGATGTGTTTCAGAAGTGATGGGAGTCAGGACATCCACGGGCAGTGGCCCATCCAGGACTCGTGGGGCGGAAACATAGTGCTTTATGTTGCCACCTTCTCCATCTGGTTAGATGCTGCTGACCACCTGCTTGAAGCCTCAGCTCAGCACAAGTGCCACCTCCCAAAGATGAAGCCAGGGCCCTAACCCTGGAGCCCATGGATCTGTCAGGTAACATGTCAACGGAGAATGAAAGCTACTGGAGACTGAACCCAGGACCTTGGCACTGAGCTACCATCCAGCCCCTTATTTTTATTTTGAGACAGGGTCTAAGTCACTAAGTTGGTCAGGCTGGGCTTGGACTTAGCCTCCCATAGTGCTGGGACCACAGGTGTACACCACCACAATCTGCTATCAACTGTGGGGTTTTTTTTTTTGTTGTTGTTTGTTTGCTTTGTGGAACCGGGGATTGAACTCAAGCCCTTGAGCTTGCCAGGCAAATGCTTATTTTACTGAGCTATCTCCCTGGCCCTAAGATTCAAGACTGTTTTTTTTTTTTTTTTTTTTTTTTTTTTTTTGTGATACCAGGGATTGAACTCAGGACCTTGCACTATAAAGGGTTAATAGAGTTTTGTGCCTTAATTGTAAAAAATTATAAAAAACCCTTGTGCTTCCTGTTATCTGCTCTAAAAAAATGTGTTCTCCCTTTTGGCTCAAGGTTGTTCAACAATAAATAACTGTTTCTTGTCAAGGCAGCAAG